TCTCCTAGCGCTTGCGAGCATCAAATGATTCGGGGGTAAATGTCTCTCCATAATATCTATAGCTATTCCAGCATGTTCACTGCAAAACAAAAGTAAATCATACTGTCAATATACAATAAATCGAATATATTTCTAATTAATTACCTTGCATCGTCAAATCTGCCGGAACTATATTCATGTACATAGAGAGCGTAAGCTAAGTCTTCGTGTGCCAAAGCAACATGAAGATTAGTCCTGCCGAAAATCGTTCTTCTAATATCTAACGCAGTCTAAAGTATAAGACGAAACGTTTTACAATCGCCTCCACGAAAGATTACGAAGATTCATAAAGAGCTCTAGAGATAAATACCTTGTATATAGTTACACTATTGCTGATACTATCGAAGTTTAGTAAGAAAAATCCATAATCGATGAGAACGTCGCTATACTTTGGATGATCTGTATCGAATATTTCTCTCGCGAGATATACAGCTTCTTTGATCAATAAATCAGCTTTCTGGAACTCTCGTTTCACAACGCATGATTTCGCCGCTTGTCTCAGAACATCGACAATAATTCCCGCGGGAAGCGACGGTCTTAATTGTTTTAACGCTTTTATACTCCATCTGAATGATAGGCAGTATTTAGTGTATATAAAATATTAGAAAAATATTATATATATAGTATTATTTAAAATAAAAAAAATTATGTTATTTAATATCATTAAGAATCAATTTATAGTCTGATCAATTTCAACTCGCATCACATATCACAGTATTTTTCAACCTTTTTTTAATTTGCGGTACATTAAATAGCAAGCCAAATTTGTTGAGTTATACCATTATAATTACGTTTCAATGCTCAACATAAATCAGATACTTTCAACACGACATTCAAAAAAAATAAAAAGTAAAGTTAAACAGTTATATTTTGTATTCTATTTTTTAAAGTAATTTTGTTGCAATAACGATATCGCTTTAGTTAAATAAGAATAAACTAATGTAGATAATTTTCAATTTTTTAAATACTTTTATTTCGTGTCTCATTAACACTACATTGACTGCGTTTCGATAAGAATATTCGATAGATACTTCAAAATAATAACAAAATTATAACAAAAAATTAGATTATTCTAAATCACATTAAAAAGTAATATAACAAAAAAAAACAGTTTATCGCCTGGATATTAAGTTTACAGTAAGTAGTATTTTTTAAATCTGTACTTTAATAGAAATGTATAATATTATAAAATAAATGACAAAAATTTCAATTTTTTAAATACAAGTACTTTAGGTATTCAATATTATTTATATAAAGTTACATTGTGATACAGAAATTAATTATCCAGTAAATAAACAAAATATTTGTTCTAAGTCTTTCTACTAACTCAGTGAATTGCAATGCAACCTTGCATAAGTTATTCTGAAAGAATACTTAAAGTACTTATTTAAAACATTTAGATTTTATTTTTTTAATTTTAGCTTACAATAAAAATAACAAATAAAGTAAATAAACTAAAAATGTGTTGTTCAATAAAAACAGAATGTTATGAACACAACTTTTATATGTATATAGTTTGTTCAAAGTATAAATATTAATATATGTGCTATTAATATATAGCTATCGAACATTCTTAAGCGCATGATACACGTGAAGAATTATTTTATTCTTGTTGTTCACCGAATGCTAAATAAAAATAAAACGACATGCACATCATGCACTTTATAGAAAACGTAATCATGCTTATACCATCTTTAAAATTTCTGCAGCACACCGGTTGAAAAACCCTGCTATATTGATTTATAAAAAAAAGTCTGATTAAAGTTAATTTCTGGCGATTGTAACCTATTTCGGAAACGACAAATATTAGGTAGGCGTGCACCTATGAGCTTCATCGTATTCACTGCGTATGTAGAATAATACACTGAACTCTGCAAAAAGGGCAGCGTGATTGCTATTATTGTACTGCTTGCTTTTTAACTTTTCTATCATTTCCATGGCAAGCTGATGAGTTTCCGCAGCCCCGTCGAAATCGCAGTATGCTGCTTGTGCATGTAACAGTCTGAAATGTATTAACAGGATATTATATTTAGCCTATTAAAAACTTGATCGATCGAACTGAGTGACTAATTGTAACACCCGATACTCTAAAAATCTGTCAACTAAATGGCTCATGTATAGGTAAATAATTGCGCATTAGTGCAAAACGTGTCTTTTGATACTCGTAGGTTCAAAAAATTCCGGAATTGATTTATAACATAAGGTCTGTTTGTAGATGTGTGTGTGTGTGTGTGTGTGTGTGTGTGTGTGTGTGTGTGTGTGTGTGTGTGTGTGTGTGTATCGAATCGAATTTGAAGTTTTTGCGTCAAATCGAATCGTATCAATTTTTAATGTGAAAACGAATCAAATTTTCTCGAATTTACATTAAAATAAAGCAAACAAAAAATAAGCGGATTCAAAATTGAACCACCGGTGACTCGAACTTTCAAATCTTATTTGATTTCGAATCTTTCAGATTCGAAAACGAATCGAATCCACTATGATTCGAATAAATTCGATATGAATTCGAACTATTTGCACACCTCTAGTTGTTTGCGCTTCTTGCACTCGGTATCTTTGCGTAATTCTTTTTTTTTAATGTCCGAATATTTATCTGAATAAATATGTTTTGAAATTCATTTTCAATTTCATAAGTTAACTTGCTCTATATTTTTATTACTTATTATGTTATTCCATACAGCAAGCCTGTCCAATTTTAGTTTCGGAGCTAAAACAAAAGCCATCAACGCAAAAAAATTTAATAAGTAAGATTTTAGGGACTGTAAAGTGTTCCTTTTTAAAAATAAGGAGTGATTTTTTATGAAGAGATCGGTTTAAAATAGTCCCTTTTAGTTTGAAAAATAAATTTTTCACAAGATAGATTGATTTAAAATCGCAATTGTCGTTCGGAAAGATCAATCTTTTGGAGATTGAAACATCCCTAGTTCAATAACATTTGTAGCTTTGTATTAACTATTGATAAAATATCGTATAAACATGATTAAATTCAGTTTTATGATAACTGGTATTATAAAATTAAATTTAATTAGTGTTAAGAGATTTTATGTCAATAGTTGATAACTACAAATTAAATACTTTTAAGCGTTTTAAAAACGTTAGCTCTGCTAGCATTACACGTGGCAAGCTTTGAAAGAAATGTAAATAAAGGTATAAGTAAAGGTAGGATTAGTTATTTCTATGTTAGAAATCAATCATGGGAACTTTTTGAACCTATTAGCATATGTGTCAACGTTCTTACTTGTGACAACAGTCTAATGTCCTACTCCATTCTTTGGGGGTCTGATTGTGGTCCATACATAATTGCTTGCAAGCTGACAACACGTCTTCGCTTTCTGAATACCAGCCAGCATCACTGAGAAATCCGCCAAGTCTTAAACCCAGATTTATTAATTTATCAATTTCCTGTGATAAAGGACTCTCTCTTGCTTGGAAACAGCACATGTTGTAACTGATGACCAGATGTTTCGCTATCCTTATTTTATGATCCATTGGTGCCTTTAGTTCCGAAAATGCAAAAATAAATATTTTCTGACGTTGAAAAAAAATGACTGCCTCTTTTTATTTTTATATATGTAGATTAACTTTTATTTTGATTTAACTTACTGCTTATCTTTTTCTAATTCTAGAAATTTGAAAGAGATAAAGAGTAAGTAAGTTAATCTATATTGATAGAGACTGACATTAGAGTGACATCTAGACCAAACTTTGATTAATATAATCGGTGAATAACTATCAAATTGTATTTGTATTTAAATGGAAATGATTTTTTGTTCAACATATGGAAAAAAAAAAAGATTAGAAATGACGAAAATTGAAATTTTGCTCTAGGCAATTCTATCGATTGAGTTAAATCACTGATTAATTTAATCCGAGTTTGGTCCAAGTTGCTCTTGAGAACTTGTACTGGACAGGCTTACCTGAAATATTTTCAGGAGTTGCAATCGGCGATTGGTGACCTTGAGCATCTTGGAGAAAGTCTCCAGATCGCTTAATTCTGCCCCCAATATACATAGTCTCCTCTCTGTGTACAACTGAAAGAGATCAGACCGATAGAAACCAAGGGTACGTCAAACGTTATTATTAAGCGCACACGATGGAGTCAATCGGAGTCAATCGAGGAACGAGATTGGCCAATTGGAGGGACCACAGCGAGAACGCGTCGAATTCGTCGCGCCGTGGATGTCGGGTCCTCGACACGACACTCGCGAGAGAGCGGATGATCGCGTGTCGTCGTCGTTGGGAACGCACAGCGGTCTCACGATGTCGTTCCCGACGTCGTCCACGACGAGGCGAGATACGATAAAAACAAGCGTGGCTATCATCGCACGCGGGTGACTCCGTGCTCCGATCGACGACGACGGGACCCCTCCTCTCCCCCGTGACCCTGTCGTCGTCACGCCGACGACGGCACAGCTTGACGTCCTTTTTACCTGATAGTAGAGATCGAACCGCACGCTCTTGGGCAGGTCGACGAGGTATGGTTTGTAGACGCGGAACCTGTCGACCACTGCGGACACGCACAAATGGTACAGGCTTCTCGTGGAAAACAACCGTGGCTCGCGTCCATCGGCCATTTTCGCGAACGGCCTTTTTTTGATTAATCACCAACACAATCTCGGGTGTTGTAACTTGTAACCCGCACCGTTGTGCTGTTCACCGTCGTGGTGCGCGTGCGTGTGTAATCAGTAATGGTGTGTAAGTGCGTGCGGAATGTGCGAACGGACGGTACCGCGGTACGTCGCGCGATCAGAGATGTCGCGTTTTTTCCCCCGACAGGTTGCGAGCGCACACCGCGAAACCGCGTGGTGCCCTCGCACCTGAAGTCGACAGAAATCGAGCCCATGGTGGAATTATACAAGGTGAGTCATTCCCGTGGATGCGCAGTAGCCTAAAAGTAGTGGGGAGTGGACAGCCAATCATGGGGGGCCCATTCGATTAAAATCCAATATGGCTGCGTTTATTGTTTTGGAGCACTGCGTGCGGTGTTATTACGACTTACGACTGATTGCAGCTATCGTGTAAGACTGTAATAAACGAATATATATGGTTTTGTTTAGAATATATGTAATGTAGTATAATATAATCCCTAATAGCACACTTTATCCTGGGGATGTCCTTAGGGATGTTCAAAGGACATATGGACATCCTCTAGACATCCTCAGGACATCCCTTGGAAGTCTGTGCTCTGTTACGGATATCATACAATATAATATAATAATAGAATATATAATATAATAATAGAGGTTAGTGCAATATATGTAATAAGTGTATATTTTTCAGGGAGCATGCCGACCTGTTGCATTAGAAACTGTAGCAGTCGCACTTCTCGTGCATTTAGTGACAAAGTAATGTTTTATACATTCCCAAAAGATATCGATTTGTGTCGAAAATGGCTTGAAGCTTGTGGCAAAAATGTCAATTCTCAGATTAAACATGGTACATATAACAATTTAAAATTATACATGTCATTAGCGTATTTCTTATTACAATAATTGTAACAAAATATACTTTTAGAACGGGTATGCGAAGTGCATTTCAAAGCAGAATGCATAGAAAGTCAACTGGCGAAGCCACAGTCAAACAAAATCCAAGCACGTATAATTCGAAGACTGAAAAAGGGATCTGTGCCAACTGAATTTCTGAACTTACCGAGTGGACGAAAGAAACGATTACATTCGTATCCACAGTCTTGTATCAATGAATTGCCAAAAAAATTAATTCGGTAAGAATAATAAATCATTCACATGATGTGTGTTGGAATGCATGTGATGCATGTGGTTATGACCTACAGGCGTATAAGGGTAGATGGAGTTAGGGTAGGAGACTTTAGCGTGTAACCTGATGAATCGAGAGGCGCTGAAAATTCCGGTTACAATGCGCATGCTTTTCGTGCTTCACTTTTTTGTTTTTCGCCTTCCGCTTTTCTTCTAGTCTCGTTTATAAATATAAAGAGTCCTCATATAAAAACAGTTGGCCTACTTATTTGTGCGTTAGAAATAAGAGCTGCTAAGGGCACGCTTTTCAAGACAACAACTGATATTTATAACAGTGTCATTCATAATGCAATATTACTGACGTGAAGAAAGTGAGTTCAGAAAAATATAATTTTTTTACGATATATTTGTTATTATAATATAGCCGTTATGTTATCATTATTTCGTTAATAAATTTGACTTTATTTTACTGATCCTATATAACATTTGTAGTACTGGCGTTCCAACCTATGCTGAACTCGTCGTGTGCAGCAAGGGTGCTATAGATGCATCAGATTTGACGAAAGTTCAAGCAAGTTTAGTGGAAGACGACGTACGAGAAGAAATCGTGGACTTGATTGAAGTTGAAACGAGTTCAGTGGAAGACAATGTACGAGAACAAAACATGAACTTGACTAAAAGGTATATATTCTTGCTAATGTCAATAATTGTCTTCCATAATTCTGAGTCATTCTATTGTCATATTGAACTATCAACTTTTTTAATTGCACAGTAACCCAATATACTCTACTATTTGTATGGAGTTTGTATTGGATTACTGCGCAATTATTTTATTATTATTCATATTATTTATTTATATTTACATATTATAATTTATTTTATTAATTATTTTATGATGTAAAGATTTATGTCGTTATTTCTTTTATAAGACGGAAATTTCAAAAATGCTTTTTTTATGAAATGTACAGTATTGGTGTAGTAACAGTCGCTAAAGATATCGCATGTACAAACCCAGAACCTGCCAACCTGTCCACAAGTTCAGTGGAACAACATATATGGAAGAAAGACATTAGTTTCATATTAGGGTATGTGTTCTCTGTCCTTTACATTAAGTAGAATATTTCATCAATTTGCTAAAAATCTTGATTTTCATAGTTTTTTCTGTACTTCTTTGTTTCTTTTTTATTTATTTATATTGTGTTTTTCAGAAATGGACGAGGAGTTGAATATTCAAACTCGTCGATTATTGACATGCTTTTAGCGCGCCTGAAAAAAGTAGAAGAGGAAAATACTGAATTAAAAGCACAGTTGCATCAAAAGTATATAGCAATGGACTGCATGAAGAAGGACGTACAGAAATATGCCGATAAGTTTACGACTGACATTCTTCGCAAGATGTTTACATCCGGACAAGTGAAAATTATATCTCCAATAGATCGTTGAATTGTTTGGACAGTCGAAGATATTAGATATCAGCCATTGCTCTTCGATCCATAAGCTCAAAAGCATACATTTATTTACGGGAAGTTCAAAAAAATTCCGTTACTATGTATTATAATGCTGAAGCATTGGATTGCCAACTTTACGGTCATACTTGTTGTCATTTCAAAAAGGCATTCTTTTGTCGATTAAATCACTCAAGGATATTTGAAGCCGATATCGAAGCAAAAGACATCGAGTCACAAGCGTTGGAATATATAACTGGCTATGTAGCTTATCGCTTCGGCCATAAATATAAGCATTTGGGCACTCCTACCAAAAAGTTACTTCCGCGCGATGACTGGATTTCATGTATTTCGCGTGGAAATTGTATCCTTCCTTCCAATAATTTCATGGAAGCAGCAAAAATCATGGATACTGAATTTCAATTATTTCACGGAGACTTTTTTTAATATGCGGGATAACATTTTTGATACATTAATCGCAAAAGTATGTCTGAAAATTGAATACAAATTTCCAACGGAGGTGATCGCATGTTTGGTGCAAACCAGATCGTACATTTGGCTGCGCAATGTAAATATGTAAATAAAAACGAATAATATAATAAGAAAATAAAGAAAAACAAAAAAAATGTGCAATCGTGTTTCTACTTAGTAACATTGTTACAGTTTGTAATGTTTTTATATTTTAATAGATTTAATAAAGATTTCATTGTTATTTTAACTTCTAATACTGTGTTTTTATTAATCATCTCCTGTGAACATTTGAATTCCGCGTGCATAAAATGGGCCCTTCGTGATTGGTTGACAAGATATGTCTCCCACCCTCTGCTGCCATTATATGCAATGATTCACCTTGTATAATTTCACCATGGTCGAGTCCAATCAAGCTTTCTATGCTTCCGGGTTCCGGGTCCAATCGAGCTTTGATCCGAAGCTACAGGGTCCGCGACATTTGCAACTAACAGATGATAGATCCTTCGACCAATGGGTGAATGGGTCTCCCCCTTCTCTCATAGCATCAGCTGATTGGTTGAAAGAGAAGGTTATGTGATTCAGGTGAAATTCATGAAATGGGCATTATAGGACCACGTGGGCAAATGCGTTTCATGTAGGCTGTGGCCATGAGGGACCCCAGCATAATATCTATGATATAAAGATAAGGGTATGTTCTTGCGCATGGCCACGCCCACTGGCCAATCAAAATATATAGCAAGATACGTCATCATTAAGTGCGAAATTCAAACGTATGCTTTTAAAGCGAGAAAAGGAAGAAAGATGAACTAGTGCAAAATAGAGACACTATAATAAGAGACTGGCATAAGTTCTAGTTGGATAGAAAATGACGTTCACAGGACGATAAGTCATATGTTGGATTCACACTGCATCCGATTTTCGTCATACG